TCCAGGATCGGACATGCCTGTTCACTAGCGGTTTCAAAATGGCCACCGTCAAGATATAACGATTTCCCGCGAAAAAATGGCAGAAAATGAAAGTATTGAAGAAAAATTACAATGTACGTAAATGTAATGTAATGTAAATTCTGGTGGTACGATCAATTAGAATTTACTACTATTCACTAGCGCGTTTTTTTATTCAGTCTGGAGTCTGAGAATCACAAGTCTTGTATATTGCTGTAAAATTCTTTTTAACAATTTGTACAAAAATTCTAATGTAACCTAGTTTGTTTTGAGTTTGAATAAACACACAAACAGATTACAACGAACTACTGCGAAATTGTTTATCGATGAGTCATGTCAGTTTTCTCAATTGTAATATGGCGCAACAGGGTTGGTGACTACTTACCTATTTCTTAGAACTAATTATTAATGTAAAAAATTGTCAATTTTTTGCTGAGATTTGTGTTGAATATCCGTTTCTACATATTTCCACATGTTTCGCAATAAAAGCGAAAATCCGAGTTCATTTTTAAGTGTACAAATATTCTTAATTATAATTTTATTTTCAGACAACAGAGAAGTGAAAAAATGGCGGGTTTATGTAGTTACAGTTTTTATATGAATTGAATCGAAATGAATTTAGTTTGAGTATATGATATTATTATATTATATTTTGAGTTTCTTAAGTACCTGTTATATTTTTAAGTTAATGTGGGGACATATACAATGCCCAATAGACAAATAATAATAAATAAGCAGAAAAGGCCACATTTGTTAGTAATAAACAACATTCCAAATATTATTATGGCGAAAAAAGTTGCCGCATAAAAGGAGAGTGAATTCTGCCGCGAATGGTTTCGAGTAACCAGGTTAAGACATGGTGGTGGTGGCTGACACGCAGTCTGCAGAGCAGAGAAGTCCACATTGTGACAGTGATATGGCGATCTACATAGTATATAGTTATAGTTAGCTAGAAGCTGTATAATATCGCTGAAAACGTGTGAAGTACTCTACCCACGTCTACTACTTTAAAGTAATGGATGGCCTTAACGCTGTCCTTAGAGCGGACACGTGGCTTGCGGTGGGATCTAATATTCCACAAACTTTTGCGGGCGTGGGCACAGCACAGCACCTTACGAAAGTAATGTCCATTGTATGAATAATAATTGAATGCATACAACAAACAAAGATATTTTATATTAAAAGATAAAGATATTTTATATTTTAAATTTTATTTTATATATAAAATATATTATATATTTAAAGACATGTATGTCTTCTATAAAAATAAAAACCTTTCTTAGAAAAACATCAAAATCGATCAATATGTTAATATTATATATTAGATAGGCGGACATAGAGGGAGACCCTTCGTTTTTACATGGGTTAAAGAAGTAGCAGTACACAGTACTACAGTGGATAGTATTTTCTAATCTCTACGTGTTTCCTCTTCATTTCAGGGAGTTCGAACTCAATATTTTCCCCCCACATTTCTTGGCGACTTTTTTATTATTTATTTATTTATTCATTCATTTAATTCAGGCCACATGACCCATATAATATATACCTTAAGGACTATCATACATACAATATAATAAACTAAATAACTAATCTACACGAATTGCACTTGTCGGCGATGTGTAGCGCAATCTAATGTCAGGTAACTGGCCGCGGAATCACCGATATATGACACCCTTCGGCCAAAAGTCTTCCTTCATGAAGGCTGACAGATGTTCGGTCGGCACTCTCATCACAAACGAATTAAAATTCACGTTGTAGCGTGACCCTAACCACTCGACCCTCGGGGTGTATTTGGCTTTTAATCAGATGCACTGCACTATCTCCTCAGAATTCGTGGTGTAATGTAGTCGCGACAGGTATAGCAGCGTCGTTGGTATGGCCGGACTCAGCAAAATGTTCAATGCTGTCGGTGCTATGCCACACAGGTTGCGGCTGGTGGGCTTCCTTTTCCTCGTCACCACCTTTGTGAAGCCGTCCTCGTGACACTGGTCCGTCTGCCTCTGTGGCCAAAACTGCTTATATCTCATAAAAGACATAAAAATAAGACGAATTACATGAAACAAAAAACAATAAGTGAAATTTTACAACCCTCCTATTTAATCATATAAAGTTCCCGACCAATTTCGTTCGTAGAGTCTTTAAGCCTATCTCCTGAAAAGTTTGTTATGTTGCAGATAGGTCCTTATTACATGAAGGGTGCGATAACGTAAAATTGCTAGTGTATGTGTGACCGAATTAGCAGTCGAAGCGCGTTGGAAATGAACCTACACTTTATCCGGATCTAAAATCACGAATATTCATGGTACCTGTAAAGATCCCGGATCTTTGGTTTGTTTGAAAAAAATTACCGCCATTAAATTATTCTAGGTCCGGAAAAAAATTGCTTCATGACCAAATATACTTTTGTAATATTAATCGTAATGAATATTATGATGTTTGCGTGCAAACATCGAACGCAAAGAAAAATACCTGCGAAAAACTCCTGTCAGATCGAAGGAATTTTTCTTTATGTTCGGTCCTTGTGTTAATAATAATAACTTTTTATTTACATGATAATCCAACAAGTTTAAAAGTGTAAGGAAGTCGCAAAGGAATCAGAACACACGACAACTGGCAAACAAAGTAAGTAAAGTACTATGATATCAGTAAATTCCAAACAATAATATATAATTCATATTAAAATTCTTTTATCTTGACCCCCTTGTCTTGTGTATTAATAATATCAGATCCGATTAACGTAAGATGTCGTATCAAAACAATATTTTATCTGTATTAGTTCACTTATAAGCTGTTGATTGTTATGTTGTGTTTTCGTAATAACATTGTCAAGTTTTTTTGTCAAGACAAATAACGTTAATATGTGACAGTGAATGGGCCTACAGTGGTATTCCGAACTATTGTGACTCTTTTTTGCTTTTTTTTTTAACCACTCGTTTTTCTTTCTTAGTGTTTAAAATTGAAATGAGAGCTTATATACATACGAGGTTTTTTTATAACATCAAGTGACGGGACAAACAAGTCGTGCACCTGATGGTAAGCGACACGCATGTCCATAACAGTTGCAGTGCTACTTATAACTTGAAACTACAATAATCTGAGGGGTACTGCCACTGCACCCGTCACCCTGAGACATAAGTTGAGAAGTCCCATGATTGCTTGTAATAAGGTATGTAGAGTCTATACACTCCTAAATAACTCCTCTGTAACTCATTTAGGCCTAAAGGCCAACATATCGAACCGCATCTGTTGCTATTGATCTTTGTGTATATCGTGTTAATCTTTTTATACAAATTCTAAATTTACACATTCTTATTTTTGGCGCCTTTTTGATGACATATTTTTCTTATAACAATAATGCTTTTTTGTTTATACTTTTGTACATTGTGCAAGTTGTTCAATAAGCTCTTTGAATCGTAGCAAATTCAGTCTGGACTTGATTACTCAGCTTTGCACCGGATCCACAAGCAGTTCGCTATTCATCTTACTGATCAAAGCTAGGTTTTTTACAGCGTATAAATTAAAAAGCAATGTACAAATACCACCGCAGCATATTTCTTCAGCATTTGCATAATCTATTTCGTAAAGTGTGACCGAAGGTCTGTTGAGATCACAGCCCCACTACTAGTAATATTTATTGGAGTTAACGGTCGTGCTGATTGTTTGATTGGATTATTGGGCGATACATGATGTTGTTTGCTTTACTGTAGGCAGGTACTTATTCGTGCTACGAGGGGTACTTCGATATTGTTATTATAATATGTAAATGTCGAATATACATTTGTTTTCGAATTGAGCACAATTTTAATTGTGTCATAAACCAGTCTCTCTCTTTCTGTGTATAAAGATCCATTTCACTTTCAAATCGTTCAGAATCTAATGAGAAACAAATGCCTGTTGAAATTCTGAAGAGTACTTTCAACTTTAAGTATTAATTAAGGAAAAAAGTATCGGGAATCCTTTCACGGGCGGCGTTTTTGGTCATTAAACCTTCCCCCAACTACCTCCCTCAGTTCCCAGAAGCGCTAAAGCCATTCTCTTCGTCTAAATATGAATACAATAGGATCACCGAGTTGAACGATTCCAGTGAAACGTTTCGAATTAATTTTTTTGCCCTGCACTGCAGTTTCGGAAATAGGGGCCATTCAGTCACTACGTCAAACTTCAAGAAAAGAAAGGAAGGTCAATGAAGCGTAACATGAAGCGGTAAAAGTGGGCGACTGTATCTACCAGTCAAGCAACTATCTGTGATACTAAATGATAGGGCAAAAAGTCATGAAGTTTGCGTAACGTAATTCATGAAAGACCCCCGTTGAAAAGGAAAAATCGATCCTGTGCCTGCGTAAGGTTTAAGCTTTTCAAGCAATACTTAGAAGATACTTCTGGTGATACAGAATTATGAGTCCCATTTTCTCAGAAGTGACGCATCCGGGCCACCAAAAACCCCATATAAAAGCCGTAACGTCGTAGTGAGCTCACAGTTTCGATTTTGTTATAGGGGTAGGCGCAAGGTTAGGTTAGGTTAGCCTTTAGTTTTACTAAAGATTTACTCAGGATTTTTTAAACAGAGAATTAAATACATACACGGTGTAAGCAATTTAATGTAATTTCGGTAGGCGGTAAGCTATGACCGCTGGTGGCGCTATCCGGCGCCCAGTCTGATATCGTGCGGCGTAAAGCGCGCGCGCTCGCGTGTTACCTTGTGTACACGCTTTTCCCAATTTTCCACAAAGTTTCTTTCGTATAGCGATTGAATTTTTTTAAACCAAAAATAATTTTATTTAACTGAATTTCATTTTAAAAATTCAAATTTAAAATTTAAGTCGTAAAACTGTTTAGAGAAATAAAAAAGTCACATTTCGGGCGTGTGTATTTCATTCAATTCACAAAACAATTGCCTGTGAAATAAGATAAGACAAACATTACCGCGGCGAAAAGCTTACGAAAAAAATACGATAATGTCGTGTTTAAATGTAATTCTTAAAATGATAAGCGTTTTAGTGATAACGCAGCTTGCACTGGGAGAAAGTCAGCAACTTTTACAAGAGCCAATCGCGGCGAAGGAACAACTGGAGTATTTTCTCACGTACATCTGTAAATTTTTCCTCGCCATGACATTGCCTTTTGATACCTCGATGGAATTACGAAATGTAAGAAACACTTTATTTTATTTTATAGTATACTAGTTGTCTTAATAATATACTTGATTTTCAATGTGAAAATTGTTACAAAAAAATAAGTTAAATCGGTAGTTTTAATGTATAGAGACAGTGCACGTAAAAGTTGTTGCTGTGTGCACTTTATTTAATCAAGCTTTTAATTAATCAAATTTATTATTTATTTATTACATTGTCTTATTATATTATGCCCAACATTTTAGTAGTCATGTTCCGATAATGTCCGACATAGAACACAGGCGCAGACTGAAAAACAGCACTATGTTGAGGCTTCGTCCGTTTCATAAACATATATTATTAGAAATAGAAATCAGAGAAGCTCATAGTTTATTAGTACATGTAGCTGTGTGTGTGGGTGTGTGTGTATGCTTTTCTGTATATATTATACGTATGTGTTTTACGAGTAAAGTCCATTTATTTATTTATTTATCACAGAAAAACATAAAAATATAAATTATTATTTATTTCTTTATTTTAATACAGATGATATACTGAGAGAGAGAGATGAAATACTGTTACTTATTGCGACTAACATAAGAAAGTCATATTTAAAAAAACTGGTTTGTCCATTTGTCATATTCTGTTTTAAAAATTATATATTAAGTCTTAAAATTTACACACAATTGTGTTTATTAAAATTATGAGAAACTGCTAATTGTTGCATTTTCTAAACTACTCGGACATAAAACGCAATACTGTCGTAACTCAATTTTTTGTTTATAATATCTAAGTGATGGGACGAACAAGTCATGCGCCTGATGGTGAGCGACACGCCTATCCATAACAGTTCCAGTACCCATTCAGAAATTTAAAAGCTTTAAATCACAAAGATCTGAGGGGCACTGCAACTGCGCCCGACACCTTGAGACATAAGTTGACAAGTCCCATGTGCCTGTAATTTCACCAGCACCCTTGCCATTCAAAACCGGAACACAGTAATGCTGACATTACTGCTTGGCAGCAGAAATATGTAAGGTGGCAGTACTACCCCAGACGAACTCGTTCACAAGGAACTCTACTGCTATTAAAAAAAAATGGAATTAAGAAAAGACAATTTGAAAATTCAAAAAGTACTGAATGAATCTTGTTGCGGCTAATGGGTTTATTTTTATTCATACATAATTAGTAACCCACTTATAAACGGGAATATAAATTTATTGGTTCCATTCAGTAATTCAGTCATGTGAGTACTATTAAAAACCTGAGTTTCATTATAACATCTCAGATAAATATTTTTTAATGGCAGTCGAACCCCTTGTGAAAGAGTTCGTCCAAGGAAATACTGCCACCTTGCCTATTTCTGCCGCCAAGCAGTAACGTCAGCATAACTGTGTTCCGGTTTTGAATTGTAAGGGTGCTGGTGAAATTACAGGCACATGGGACTTGTCAACTTTATGTCTCAGGGTGAACGGCGCAGTGTTAGTGCCCCTCAGATCTTTGCGATTTAAAGCTTTGAGTAGCACTGCAACTGTTATTGACAGGCGTGTAGCTTACCATCAGGCGCACGACTTGTTGATCCCATCACTTAAAGTTATAAAAAAAACATTGCGCTATACCTAACCGACGAATTCGAAATTCTATGCTCTTTAACAACTTATTACCTACTCATCCTTCTAGCCGGAGCTGTGCTTCACTCGACAGCAATTTAAAAATTTCTTAACATAAATAGGTACTTAAGCCTGTAGGTGGCACGCCGGTAATGGTCAGTTATAACTTAACTAGTCGTAACATGTTTATACATGTTAAAGTCATGCCAACATCGGGCAGATGGATGGTAACTAGCATGGCATGTGTTAACACATAAATCGCTTGCCAACCACAGGTACGCCCGTTGTGGACTAAAAGTACTCTTTTAGTCCTTGTGAAAGAGCTCGTCCAGGAAAGTACAGCCACCTTACCTATTTCTATCGCCAAGCAATAATGTACGTACATCAGACACATGGGACTTGTCAACTTATGTCTCTAGAGCTCCTTGTGAAAGAGTTCGTCCAGGGTAATACTGCCACCGTACCTATTTCTGCCGCCAAGCAGTAATGTGAACATTACTGCGTTCCGATTTCGATGAGCAAGGGTGCTGGTGAAATTACAGGCACATGGGACTTGTCAACTTATGTCTCAGGGCCGCAGTGGCTGTGCCCCTCAGATCTTTGCGACTTAAAACTCTGAGTGGCACTGCAACTGTTATGGACAGGCGTCTCGCTTACCACCAGCCACACTTGTTCGTCCAATCACTTAGTATTATAAAAAAAATGTAGCATTTGTAAAAGGAAGCAGTAAATCTGCAGTAAACCGACTTTTATAGGAGAGGCATTTAACATTATTACTTTGTTATCTCAATGGCTAAACTTTCATTTTTGTACAGTAAGCATTAATTTATGTTGTCTACAGACTCATAACAATACATTCCCGTAAATGAATCTAATTCTTTTGTCTCAACATTTACGCGGAATTGATTTGGTCACTAAATTACCGAAATGGAAACTCATAATCCAATGCTAGTTATACCTAATTGCACTATCGCCGACGTTATGTCTCAGGGTGACTGTCACTGTGTCTCACATCTTTGTGGCACTGCAACTGCTATGGACAGGCGTTCCACTTACCACCATGCGCACGACGTGTTCGTCCCCTTACATAGTGTCATAAAACAACATAATTGATTAAAGTATGATATTTATTTTATTAAATATTTTTCATATACTTACTTTGATACCGTTCGGAACTTTTGGTCAACCCAATATTATATTATGTTATATTATATTATTACATACTAACATCGTAATAATGATAACACTGCCTTAAATTTACTGTCATCGCAGGCTACGCGATGCGAGCGATGTTATCGACAGGAATTGGGATAAAAATACGCTATCAGGATTATCAATAAACCCATCATATTGAGTACTGAAGGTGACCGACCCAACATAACAAACTTTTTCTAGAATTCGGAAACTTTTTATCCTAAAACATAACTGTCATATTAGTCGAATAAAAAAATTTCGTATTAATGTTTAGTAACAGCCGGTGTAAATGCAAAAATAAATTTTTATTTATTTTTTTTGTGATATGAGTGTTGCAGTTCCACTCAGAGTTTAATCGCAAAGATCTGAGGGTAGTGCGCCCTTCACCTTGAGACATAAGTTGATAAGTCCTGTAACTTAATAAGTACCCTTGCCCTTTACAATCGGAACACAGTAATTCTCACATTACTGCTTGACAGCAGAAATAGTTAACGCGGCAGCACTTCGACGACGAACTCTTTCACAAGGAGCTCTACCTACTGCTGCTACAAAATTTTAAGCAGGAAAACGTAGTCCTTGCCACCATATCTACTAGTAGTTGTCTACTGGACGTAGCTCTCTTCAAACAAAGAGTTGTTAGCCGTTGTCAATTAGCTAATGCGTTAGCATACGCAGTAAAGTTAAGATTTATTAAAATCAGTAGTATTTACTAAAATCGGAAAAATGTTTAAGTAATCTGTGGTTAACGGTGTTGGTTACGCATTACATGTACTATTTAGTAATGTATGACTGTTTATTGACCCCAATAAACTTAAAAAATTGAAAAAGTTTCATATTAATGTCTTAAAGTATATTGTGTATTAACAGCGGTAAATAATGAATTACGAACGAGACTATAAGCGCCCAGTAACACGACGCGAAAGGTAACCTATCACAAACTCTATTTTTTCCGAAATAACGTTTGTTCGAATTTTCGTTATACCGAAAACCGAGTTATAATGAAACCTTTGTTCTTTCTGGATATGTTGGATGTTTAGCACAAAGACATGATTAGGTTAGGTTAAGTTAGGTTTAAAAAAAAAACATTTTTCTCTCAAAATTACTTTCAAGGTCGTGAACGTTATTTCTGGAAAATGTCATTTCGAAATACTGATAGGTAATCGACGCAAAAGCTTTCGCGCGGCCGCCGCGCAGCGACCGCCCAGTTACCACGCTTTCACACTACTAATTTTCTTGAAATCACTGATTATTGTAATTCCATTTAGACTCCACTGAGATTATATTCCAATTATGATAATATTTGTTATTCTACTAAAATCTAGTTGAAATGACAGTTGAGACTCAATAGATTGTCAATGAAATGGCGGTGATGGCACTCTTCCATGGAAATTACTATTCATCTCTTAATTTTTTCCTCGTTTATTCAGCAAATGTATTCTCTTTATTACCAAATATCGACGCCTTACTTTCTCAAACTCGTATCTTATAAAGATCAATTAATTATTCAGGAGATGGCAAAACTTGACAAATTTGAATGCATTACTTGAAACCCTTTAAGAATAGGTAAAAGTCAAAAATACGTAAGTATGAAGGAAATGTAATGTGAAATCGGCTTGCAAAATTTATATGTATTTAATCCAGTTTTTGCATTTCAGTAACTTCGTGTTTTAAGATACGAGTTTGAGAAAGTAAGGCGACTTCGCCACGCCAATAAAGATAATTAAAATAAATAATTTAAAAAAAGAATACCAAACAATTGCAATGGTAGTTGAGCTGACAAGCACAACACGTAACTTTTAGCAAAATACCAAACGTACAAAATCCTACCATTGGCACTATATAGACAACTGAGATAATTTCAAATTAGCACACTTGGTGCTCTGTTTTTATGGTCACGTTGGTTTGTTCGAGAAAACAAATATACGCGACTTAAATCCGAAAGATAGTCGTCATTCCAAAATGTAACGCATTTAGGTACTCTTAAAGTTTTAGTCATTTTGTGTTCGAACAGAATATGTAATACTGCATATTGACACGAGGCAACATTAAAATTCAATCGAGACGGAATCCATTTACAGACACTTCCATTGGAGCTGAATTTTTTTGTCTTAGTTGGGGAATTATTTCTTACGTATGTACACGTGTCAACACAAGTACAGTCGATGGCCTAAGATACCTGACCCCCTAGCCGGTCTTTGGTTATGAGAGCCTTCTTACACATTCAACTGAAAAGTCTTAAGAAATGCCAGCTTTATGGTTCCAATTTGTATTTATGTAATATAATTACTCAAATTGACGTCATTTACCAAATTATAATACCAAATAATAATAAATTTACGGCTCCCACGTAAAAGGTTACGTTTTACTTAACACTTTTCTTTACACTTTTCCTTTTCTTCTGTTTGAGACGCCATCTCCTACCGGAGGTCGGCTGTCATTAGTGCTATCTGTATTTTCGACACAGCTGCACAAAACAAGGATCATGTGCTCAGGTTGAACCGTGACCGGAGCTTCTTAACCCACGAAGTACGCTTTCTTCCAGGTAGTCGTTTTTCTTTACGCTTATCTGAACCAAATAGTTTAGGGCATCAACTGCACATACAATTGGTCATGTTCAGTCATTACCAAAAGCAGTTGAACAGCTAGTCAGTGGCGTAGCGTGGGGGGTACAGAGGCGGCGGTGACCAGTTAGTCAAAATTATTTATTTTTTACTTCAAAATTAAGAAATAAATAATTCCACTATTTGAGAAAACGATATCCTGAACAACACAAAGGTGGCGACGGCAGGCAACACAAAAACACAATTGGGCCGACTCGGCCCGAACGAACTACTTTTGTGATTCACTAATCAATCAATTACGGCGAAGCGCGCTGTAAACTGTTTACGGCAGTAGGACAGATATCCGGCTGCGGAAATATCCAGCTATCCAGCCTAAATGCTCGCCAAATATCCGGTATCCGACCAAATCACTAATAATAACACGCACACACTCATAACCCCGCACTAGAGAAACCCTGTATCGCGGGTGCCATGGACACACACATAGACGACCACAAATTACACCCAAACTCACGAGAGAAATAAATATAGGCCATACAAACGTGTCTCTCGGCCCGGGAATCGAACCCGGGACCTCTACGTGGCAGTCGACAGGCCATTTGATAGTTTATTTAGTTTATAATTTGATAGACGTACTGAAAAATAATCTCACCTATATCCTTTTTTCTTTTTGTTGTTCAGGATCAAACGGAGTACTGCAAGAAGAATTATTTCGGTAAGTGAATTGTTTCAATAAGTTTTGTTCCTTTGGTAGGATGAAGGCACATACATGTGATCATATGTCAGAAGTGCTTTATCACACGAAAGTCATATAAATAAAGACGACTTCACACGGCCCGTAGCCCGTCTCGCGGCCCTTGGAAACGCGCCGTGGAAAGAGGGCTGCCCGAGCGCGCCCGTGCTCGCCCGTGGCGGCCTGTTCAGATCCGTCGCTCTAGTCGGTAACTTCAAAGGCGCGGCTGAAGAGGCCATTTCATATATATATATTCATTAATGTCCTATTTAAACATAAAGTTATATGAAAAATAACTTTTGGATAAGACAAAATAGATTTTTTTTAAATAACGTACGCAATACTGGCCATATCAAAACTTTGCCTTCATATTGAACCAAAACATTGCACGACCGTCATAAGACCGTATAGTATTTTGTAATAAAGATATTACAAAATACTGTACTAGGATCTTTCAGCTTGTTATCAAGGCTAAAGAAATTGCTTAGATTTTCAACAGAAATGTCTTATTTTGCGAAACACAACTTGTAACGGCTAGATTAAATCCTATAAAGTCTAATGTGCAAAGTAAGTTATGGTTATCAAGGCAAAAGAAATTGCTTAGCTTTTCAATAGAAATGTCTTATTTTGCGAAACACAATTTGTAACGGCTAAATAAAATCCTATAAAGTCTACTGTGCAAAGTAAGTTATGTGTATGTATGTATCTTTTTATGTTATTAACCTCAAAATGACAAAGAACCGAAAATTCTGTTTTCCAACATTTTCTCAAAATGCTGTTTTTGATATTACAGTGTATTGGTTTGACAAGGTAGGGGTACCAAATACGAAAGATTTATATTCGATATCTAATATACACTAGTTATATTAGATATATTTCGTACGTACTTTTTTGAAACTTTTATATATTATATATTTTATATATAAATTGTTATTACTCTGTATACGCTAACAATTATTTATTGTCATTATTTATAAAAATCCAACAAATTTCATTTACAGGATCGAAAGACCCACAATTACCACCGCCTTCGAAAATAGAGGATTGGTGTCAATCAAAAGGTGAAGTCAATTTTATGATAAACCCGTTAGACAAGTGGCAATTAGTTATATTAGTACCGGATGATGAATATTTATTGGTGAGTACATTGACCGAGTATAAAATTTTCATGTATAAAAAAGTATAATTCATTATATATTTTTTTTACATGAAAATACCGGACATTGCTCAGACACTTCATCGCGCGTGACACAGCAATAAGGTACACGGTCTATCCTACGCTATTAGCCATTACACGGACGCTCTTTCCGTTGTAACAAAAACGAACTGATTTCAAACACGTAATCGCGCAAGATTGCGCGTGCAGACTTTCCCGCGCTCAATCCTGTACGCTCCTGATCACGCGCGATAGAGTGACTGTGTAAAGCAGGCTATTAGTACCTAAATATATAATAAATCGTCCACACACACTCACATCCCCTCACATATATATAAAGCCACCACCACAAGCCACCGAAACAATGAATTTATTTCAAATTTCCCGATTGCATTTCTTTTTAATTTATTTTTTAAATTAAAAACTTTGATGAAAGAATCGACATCTTACTGTGGTCGTGGTGGACAATTATCAGATATAAGTTTTTCATTCATAATTGCCAAACCTTACTTTTTTTTAATACGATAAAAATGTATTGTTTTATGGTCATTGTCATCTAAATTTATTGTTTTATTTTGATTTAAAAAACAAAGTTCTTTTGAAAAACCTTTATATATACATACACATTTACACACACACTTAAAATCACACATATACTCAAACAATTACTACTACAAACAATATTTTTCTTTTTTATTCTTATGTTTTTTTTATTTGTAAACTTTACTTTAAATAGATAATTTAGTTATCGCAATTGTCACTGTACAAATATATAATACCAAGTTGCAAATTTCTATTTTCCAAGGGGTGGAATACTGGTGACCTGAAATACAGACCTTACGTCTAGATGACGCACCAGTCTCCCACAGTATAATTCTTGTTTTTATGTATTGTTCTTGACATCATGCCCAATGTACCTATATTGTGGTGAGAAAATAAACAAACTTATAATAATTATGTGGTTTAGTATCATTTAAAGTAATATTATAGAAAAAAAAATTTAATGTGCGTTAGCACATTTGCTTTGATAGAGAGATTTGAGCCTCATTTTATAATCATGCTCCGTATTACTATTTACAAAGGTCGATATTTTATTCTTAAATGATTCGTTTTTGACTTTTATTTTCGACTATTTTCAGGACTTTATATGATCGAATAAAGTACATGCTATCGTGTTAACGATTAGCACGTTCTTTAGTTCGTTTCGTTTCTCCTTCGGTGACTCACCTTAATAAAACGTCATAAAGCCTGAAAACCACGTCACACGCAAATTCGCGAACAATAATAATTAATGAATAAAAAAATAAAATAAAAAACAGGCTATCATTACATTGTATAATTAATCATATTAAAGGTCGATTCATATCTTTCAGATAAACCACAAATTTTTAAATGCAAGCGAAACCATTGGTAAATTAGAAACTACGTCAGAAAATAAATCTACAATTTGGACAACCGTACTAAACGATGATGGAACGTCGTCTCTATGGCTTCGAGGCCCGGAAGTACCACCCTGGAGCGCGCAAGTGGAAAAAGTGATGTGCAAAGATGATGTTATTACAGTAAAAATTGAGGAGCCAACGTTTCACTACATACCTGGCAGTCGTTCAGTAGATGTTACTTTTAAATGGAGTTTTTCTAAGGGTAAGTACGAGCAACTTACTACATATGAAATTTGTCCTTTTGGTATAATAAAGTGATCACATGTGATCGATACGTCGATACTTTTGTCACATGAAAGATCATGCCCACCAAAGTATAAAAATCATATCTACCCACGGCGTACAGAAATGACATATGGCTAGATTTATATAAGAAAAAATGTGTACTTTACAACGGTCTGTGTCGCTTTGCAGTGGGTAGTGGAAATTATGGAATAAAAAGAAATATTTTTATATAAAAAATGTAGGTAACTTAGTGCAAAATATTTGTGTGTTTTGTACTTATTGTTGATCACCCAGAGAATGATTTCGGTCTTACTCCTACTACAACTGACCGCGCTGGATTCGCGTACGAGTGTGATGTTTAATTTGACAGAAAGTCTGACATATTGTCAGAAGGTATTGGTAGTAGGTTATTACCTATTTAGGGTTTTCACACAATCATAAATATGTTTAACAATAAATCCTTATTGCCCTGTTACATGTTAACCCGTAGATTTTCAATATTTTTTTACAGAAAATAAAAATAGGTTTGTAAGTGCATAATTTAAAACTAATGTGGTTTTTGTACGCAAACCGGGTCATATTACGGGCCATGATTGTTGTCATCTTGCAGATGTGGATTTATTGCACCAAGCGTGCGAATTTCTGTATTGTTCCTTTCTAAAGCGCAGGCCACACCGTGATTGAAGCTCAGCTAACTTAGCTTAACTCACGCAGCCGGGGCATCTAGTCATACTTCGGTTTTCACCACGAACTAAGCTAACCGGGACGGGTACGCTATCGCTAGTTCGCGCCTCCACCAACGGCTGCCCGCGCCCAGCGCAGCCTCTCCCCGAGAAGGGAGACATAACGGTCTCCCGACTCCAAAATCAAAAGCTCACCGAACACCAGACGAGCCTCCTATCTCGGGCCTCTCCATGCCGAGCAACGAACTCCCCCGAGTCCGCTACCCAGGGGCCATGGGGGCCAGGACAAACATCCTCCCAACTGTGAAGTTCAGAGAATGCTCCCCAGCCCCGCGGCGGATCTGTTGGTAGGCCTCCGCCGCAACACCCTACGTGCATCCGCGTGGACTCTCCGAAGAGAGTCTTTTAGAGCGCCCACCGCACAGGCCAATCACCCAAATACGGCCGTGGATGATAGGACGAGCGGCAACGACACACCGATACGTCTCTTCCCCCACGGCCCCACCGCCACTGCATCTACACTCGAAGCGGTGCAGCCCACCAGAGTCGCGGAGGACAGGCGACGAGCGGTAACGACACACCGACACGTCTCTTCCCCCGTGACCCTCATCCCCGCATACGTCCGAGCGGACCCGCTCGCCCTGGACCAAGACGAGCTCGCGCGGTACGCCCTCCTCCTCGGACCAGCCTAGCTCCATCAGCCGGACTATGGGTTCCTCTTAGCTTCACCGAGGGATGAAATCGACCACGGCTACTAGAGGCCCAAAAACAAGGCGGGAAATAATTGGAGAGGATATTCTTACATGAGTTACTACTTACTACGTATTTTCTTACCTTAGCAATGCATGCAACTACGTGAGCAAAGGTTACTTAGCTTAGCTTCGTTCGCGGAGTGACCTGCGCTTAAAGTTTGCAATTGACGCAATGATTCAGAGAATGAAAGACATATTGTCATACCTCATGTCAATGATTATTTCATACATGGAATTACACTAGTACGCTTCGTCTTCCGTTTTCAACGTACCTAACATTTACGTCTTACATCTTGTGTTTTCCATTGTGCTAGACGTATACGTGTGTATAAGGCTTAAACAGAAAAACTTAAGACGTCAACGTTTTGACGCTTTATACCAGAAACGCAACATGTTCAACGGACACAATAACATATTAACAGAATGCCAGATTAGCAAAATGCCAGATTCTCAGAAAGCAATTCTTGTTGCACCGATCGTAATTGTAGTGTGTTGGTACCAATGATCGACATATTAAGGGAAGCTTGTCTTTACATTTGAAATAACTTTTCTGTTTTTAAACATATATCAATAATGATTTACTTGGCAAATACAATCCTTAAGAAAGATCATGTTGTAGTATGTTTCATAAAAGCAACTCTTACAATTATTTAAAAAAACCTAAACTAGAATTTCTCTAAATCTCAGGGAGCAGAGGAAAATTTCTTAATCTTCGATTTGATTTTAGAGGGGTATATCCACTTTAAAGTTAAAAATAAAATATTGTATGAGTAACTACACCGATATAGAGTCATTTCATGTTTTTGTATTAAATGTAAATGTAAGTGTTTAGTGTTTAGTTTAGTATTAGATTTGTTATCCAACGTCAAATTTGTCAGACGTGACACACCTTTAAACCCCTCAAGGGTTTCAGTGTCGTATAAACGAATATAAAAATGTATATAAGTTAATAAATAAATAATAAATAATAAATAAATATTCAAGCGTAGGCACTAATCAGAAACATAAAACAATAAAGTTTCCCCGATAGATAAAAATCACAAAATGACCTCTAATTTTCACATTTTTTCGATTCATCCTCGAAATGCTATAGGTTATTAGGACAAAAATTAGACAATTAATTATATTTATGCATGATCGAGAACTGTCACTACGGACTTTTTTAAATCCCTTTAGTTTTAGAGTTATTCCGCTAAAACGAATTTGGTACTTTTAATGCGCAAAATTCAACATCTCCTGTCGCATATCACGCGAACTTCAGGCATATATTTGTTTCACAAATTTGGGCGGAGCCAACGTCAAAACTTTTTTGGCATGCTCCCTCTTAAATATTCTACGAACGAAATTAATCGATATTTTTTTAAGCTTAAATAAAGGAGTTATACAGTGTGTTGATTTCCATTCTCGACGTATTTAAGAAATTAATAATAGAAATAATGCTATATCATTTGAAAATTAAAAAAATATATATTCTCTTCAATATTCTGGCTAATTGTATCTAGTAAAGTTTTGCAAAATTGTCCCTAAATCGTGTTCCCCGCGCGAGTGCAGTGACCCCACCACCCGCTTCACCGAGCGATACGTAATCTTTGTCGACCGCTCATTTACCAATTTTTTAAAATATGATTATGCACTAGTAGGTATATTATTATTTACTAATTATATACATTAATTAGAAAAGTTGACTGAAAAAAGTTTTTTGTAACTTAGATTTGGTACTTACCAACTTTAGGTTACATGGAAGTATTGCTAGAAGTAACTAGCTCCACAGAGTTTTGCACGTGAGTTTCGTTTCAACTTCCTTAGAACAAATTCTACTGCACAACTTTGAAAGCAGAGACGATTTTTGCTTGCAATTCTTCGACACTCGTAATCTCCTTCGCGTAAACTAATATTTCACAATATGCCATAAAAATAGTCACGCGCTTGCACTTGATGATAATGCAGGTTCTCGTGAACCTGGTAGCAGTTCTTTTTTGCACTAACTCTTGTTTACGTACCAAACCACGTGACATTTCGTGAGAGACTAGCTAACAGATCACTAGTATTGCGGCGGGTTCGACTATCCTAACTTGTGCGCTGCTTTTGAAATAAGAATTTAGGATTTTTTTTCAGGTGTTCAGTTTCAGATATAGAATGACCTCTATAAATATGGCGATAATGCAAATCAACTCATTGTATAAATATAACTTTACTGTAAAACACCAACCTCAAAAGTTTGCTAAACCGTTTTCACTCTGTTCGTTACTAAACAGTAACTGAAAGGCATATGCAAGTTCTTGTCAAAACGAATCATATGAGCTTAACACAAGGTAGCTGCTGTAACTGTTGAAGACTGCTATTTCCATCGTTTTATCTCTTTATAAAAAAAATTATAATACCATTAGGCTTATTGAATATCACGGTGTTTTGCTACCATAATATTCAATTCTTTTTTGTGAAATTACTTCACTAAGTAGTTTGTTATAATTATACAAAGATTGAACACAGAAATTCAGTTGGATTCGAACCAATGCCTTCGCCATACCGTGGTTGACGCTCTCCCAACTGAGCTACGGAACGAACCTGTAGACCTTATGAATTTTTCTATGCGCTTGTTGCAGATCATTGGCTTTTAATAACTTTTTGCCGTAGCGCTATCTATGAGGAATCTATGAAAGTTTTTCTTCAATCTTAGAGGTACCTTTACGGCTACCAGCGGCTTTCCAGAGATGTCGCTTTAATCATTAAAATATTATTAAATTTATTTAATATCACGATGTTTTAACATGACAAATGGTAAAGACAATCGAATGCTTTTTTTGAGTCCGATTTTTGTATTAATAAATAAAATAATATAATTTTATAATTTTTTGAGGCGAAAAATAATGTTTTCGCCGCGGTAGCCTAATGATTTGATCTACTGCCTCTCAAGCAGAAGGTCGTGGGTTCGAATTCGGAATCACACGTCTGAGTTTCTCGGAATTTATGTGTGAAATTTAAATTTAATTAGAAATTTACCATGTGCTTTTCGGTGAAGGACAACATCGTTATGAAACCCAACCCTCGGAAAACGTGTAAAGTCCCCACCCCGCATTGGAACAGCGTGGCGGACTATGGCCGAAACCCTCGTCTGAAAGGAGACCCGTGCCGTACCCAGCAGTGGGACGTCTAAAAGGGTTGATAATGACGATGACGATTTTTCGCCACTATATTTAATTATTTTTAGTTAAAACCGAAATACTCGTTCGATTAACTTGAAATATAAATTTTCAGTGCCCACACTTGTTTCTACGATAGAAGTGACAAACGACTGCTATATAGACAACTTCATAAATGGAAATTACACCAAGAAGACAATTGGGGTAAATGATTACTTTTAATCTAATATTTATAAACATCGATTGACTTTTATTATTGATAATGCTAGCGTAATAATACGTAGTAACTAGAGATAAATCATTTTTGTCACTGATTAATTTATCTTATTATTTATTTATTATTTTATCACATCATTATGTCAATATTTATTTTATTAATTTATGCAACCGATCTCTTAGATAGATTACTCAGTAGTAAACATATTACAGTAGTATATATATTTCAGCACAATCTCCTCTGACAATAATTGTCATTTTAAAGCCGTGGTAGCCTATTAATTGGCCTATAACCACCTTTAACCCAAATACGTCCACGCTGGGTTCTCTTCTAAGAAGAAGATTCAGGTCATCATCCCGACCCAAAGAAAGTTGGGGATTATATACGTCTAAGTTTTCTAGACCTTCTTTGATATGTAGATTTAATAGATAGATATATAGACTATATACACTTTATTGCTGTATATATATACACTTTATTGCTCACACACAAGAACAAGAACAGTACATGAACAACTTAAAACTAATGTGGGCAAAGGCGATCTTATGGCTAAGAGCGATCTCTTCAAGACAACCCTTGAGGTAGAGGAAAGCCAATCGGACAGGGAGAAGAAATGTGCCAATTTACAAGTAAAAATTAATTGAATTATACATACATAACTTCCATTATAATTTATCAAATACTTAATAAATAAATAACGGTTTACTATACCTACATAAATATATGTATAATTAAATATACCTAAATAAACTTATATTTACTAATAAATATATGCACGTTGCAAACTAGGGTCGTGTTAAAAGATATTTACGCAATCAGGTTTTGATAATAAGCAGCGACTTAGAATGTCGAATTTCAGATGGGAGATCGTTCCACAATTGTGCAGCCTCCTTAGGTTGTTTTTTAATTAAGTTGTTTTCTCTTTTATTGAATTTTTTTAATTCAGGAAACTTAATTCCATCTATCGAAAAACTCGGTCAAGTAGGAAACGAATTCCGAACCTAGGACACTAGAAGCGAACGTTCACTGAACTACTGCGTTTTTTTGTGATACCAAATAACGGGACGAACAAGTCATGCGCCTGGTGGTAAGCGACACGCCTGTCCATAGCAGTCGTCGTGCCATTCAGAGCTTTCAAGTCCGAGGTGTCTGTAGTTTCACCAGCACCCTTGTCCTTCAAAACTAAAACGCAGTATTACTCATATTACTGCGTGGCGGCAGACCTAGGTAGACGTTTTCGTTTAATTACTAATAATATTCATTAACTGTTTTCAGACAACCCTTCATACAACAACAATTACCAACATGGTAATGGATACAGAATGCACATTCACTATAAAAATTAATGACAATAAATTCGTTCATAGCTACAATACACCATCGTGTTATGATTTTACAGCTGAAGGTTGTCGTCCAGGTAAGTGTCCTTTTGATAACGCAGAATATCACAAAAAAAATTGTTTTCTTATTCATAGATTCCTTTTTCCTTTTTTTTTTGTTTTTGACGATCTCGGTGACCCAACACTTTGCACCAGGGTTGTTGCTGATGCTGATTTTATGTATTTAAAAAAGATAAATGCGAAAAATGTACTTTCTTACTGAATCTGTCTACATTCTATTTTCGTTGGAATTGTAATAAAATGTTTACATACATTTCACAAAAAAATAATTTAATATCAATTCGACACAAATTTAATTACAGATAATAGCGACATCTTTAGCCAGGGTTGGTAGCTGTAAAGTTTTAAGTTACCTAACTGGTTTACGAAATAGTTTCATAGATTTCTCATAGATTGCGTTACGGCTAAAAAGTCGTTGAAAACAAATATAAAGATCCGACAAACAAGCACACAGAAAGTCATCAGGTCCGCTGGTTCATTCCGTGGCTTAGTTGGCATAGCATCTAGCACGGTTTGCTAGAAGCTCAAAGTTCGAATTCGGCCGGATCGAAGGAATTTTTTCTGAGTGTTCGATCTTTGTATTAATGTTTCCATGTAGATTGATTCTTTTGTCCTATATCCTAGCTTTATCGTTGTGGAATTTTATCAAAGTTATCTAAGTTATTTGTAAATTATTTCAGCGTACCTTTTAGGTCATGTCACGAATCGCACATCCGCATATCGAATATCAGCATCGATGATCTTGATGCGGATGGAGATATTTTAAATTATGTTGATTATCCGGATGCGGAAGCTGATTCGCAACAACCCTGGTTACGTTTGGGTGCTGGTTGAGGAGGTCCCCTTTTTGATTCCCGGTTGGACCAATTTTGGGAATTAAGTTTTCTAAATTGGTTCTGGTTTATGTCCCAGAGCGAATTCCATTATTCTGGTACTTTTTGAGTTATTGGTTCCCACTACTGACCACGGGTCCTTGTAAAAAGAGGATTAAGACCATAGTCCACCACGCTCTGCCTCGACTCGATTTCACACATTTTCAGCATATCAGCTAGTGTTAAATTAAATAAAAACAAACGTATTTGGTAAACATCAAAGCTCAAAGTTTCTCAAAGTGGTCCCTACCGCGCTTAAGAATCCTAGAGACGCCGTGTGGCAATTGGGAGGCCTTGATGCTGTCCAGGGGGTGCTACCGCATTTGAAAAAAACTTAAATCATCTTCTGTATAAACTTAGTGTAATTGGCACCCGCGACACAGAGTTTCCCTAGTGCGGGGCTATGAGTGTGTTGCGTTATTATTATTTTTATTCACACCGCTAAGAAAAAATACAAAATGCTTTTTATTGATTGCTACAATTTTTCCAATCCTTTTTAGCAAATAATGTAACTTAGTATGTCGCATTGATACATCGACCGTGAGTCATTTAGAAGGCAAACAAATGTTACGGAAATTTCAGCATTCAAATTCCTAATATCTCGTTTTTATCGTTGTATTTGTCCATTGTGCAATATCCTAGCGTATTGTAGTGTAAATTGGTGAACTAGGGTTAGGAGTTAAAGTAAATTTTTCTTTTTTACAGATCCTGAACAACCAAAAGGCTTAAAGTTGGAAGCCATAGAAGCAAATGACGGTCTAGGCTGGGACGTAGAAGTGAGTTGGTCTCCGCCGTTACACAGACCTGAGAAATATAACGTCACCCTAAGAGCTGCAAACGTTTACTACGATTTGGTTTCAGGGGTAAGCAACGTAACAATTAATATATAATCGATTTATATCGATACCTCCAATAAACACTACGCCAACTTAATTTTTGGACGTATTCTGTTTTAATTTTGTTTTTTATATTTTTTTTTCACAAAATTTGCGGAGCACGATTAGTAAATAGATATGCCTGTTTACAAAAATTAAAGAAAATTACCAAAAATAAAATTGGCGTAGTGTCTACTGGAGGAATAGATATGGAAATTGAAATAATTTTGTCAAAATTTCCTAAGTATCATGCCAAGTATTTAAAATTATTTACATCGATCTGTCAAATAACAACTTATCAGAAGAGAGGGTTAAAGATTCTACGAACGAAAATAGACGACTTTTTTTATTCTTAAATAAGAAAGTTATGTAAATTCAGAAGATGTACATAATTTGCTTGTTTCATATCATTTTTATCACTTTCGTTTATCGTCGTCTTAGAGTGAAAACCTCGCATACGCATTTTCATTCAGTTCGTTTTTACTGATTTTTATTGAAGAAAAACTTAAACTTCTTGCTCAAATATATTATTAAAGTAGTATAGTATCTGAAAGAGGTATAATTTAACTAATTAAAATGCTAAACTACAAACATTATTGCGTTTACTACATTTTACGCCACATCTTTGCCGCAAAAAATTATATAAAAATCACATACGAGGTATTCACACTAATATGCACTTCTGACATATGTCAGAATGTGATCATATGATCACATTTATTATACCCAGGATACGATAGGATACTTGAAACTGTTGTGTGTAAAGCTTGGTGTTGCAATAGTATAATATGGTAACTTCAAACAAATGTAGCAGCGCGGCTTGTATGTGTGCTCGCCCGCCGCGCGCTTTGTACGGACCATAGATATAGAGAAAAGGGGAGATATGTAATGACGCTATATAAGATCGGGTACCGATGTCGCCACTTTTTAGCTTGTATGCAATTCAAACTTTACGCTCTATTATCTATTATTTGGTTTGGTTATGGTAGATAACTTAAGTAGAAAACTTAAGATTTTGATTGGGTAGGACTTAAGACGTGAAAACGACGTAAAACAATTTTAAAATTTAACAAAATTAAACTTACATTCACTGCAATAAGAGTTATATTACAATATTTCAGTATTTTTTCATCCTGGTTCAGCCATTCACCAACAGATGGCGTTTTAATAAAAATACTACTAGTATATGATAGCTAACTATTACACGTTAGATGGCGCTGAAACTCATTTTTCGTTACACTAAGAACTCACGGAACGGTTTTCACCCGCGTCTGCCGCGGGACCGCGGCATCTGTAGAATGTAACAGTTAAGTATGTAAAATTAGTAGCACATTTCACGGCGCGTTTTACGCCTGTAGTGGTGACGGTTGCTCGCGGTTGCCGCGGAGGAGTACTAGTAGAACCGCGCAGGACGCGATGACCTGAACTTGGTGGCCGTCGTCGCCCGCACACTTTGGCGGTCGGTTCAGGCACAATGTGGTGCAGGCGCATGCAGGGTAAGTTCTCTATTAATGGCGCGACTTGCAATTAACTTCCACTAACTTCGCGGTCCGTTCCGCAATCGCAACGGTTTCGCGCGCGCAACCGCGGCAGCTACGTGCCCGCACAAACTTGCAGAGTCGTAAGTGTTGAAATAAAACCGCTGTCTAGCAGCACCTGCGGGCGCGGATGGAAACCGCTCCGTGAGTTGTTAACCTTATTAACCTTAAACATCAGTCTTCGTAAATGAACATCACTATATTTGAGTCTAGAAATTTCTATAGAGACAAAAAGAAAACATTGAATAATAATAGAAATAGTAACTAAAAATGCAAATAACCGGTGGAATGTTATCTCACTGGTTTTAAAATTTTTATTTTCACTCCAATTTTTACAAGATGTATCGCTACAACTTGGCATTTTCACGTTTTACAAGAGATCTTGTATGTACAACGATCACCATATCACTGTGGCGATGTTTGTAGGCGTGTCACCTCGATATGGTCATTTTGACCATAACGAGGCGACGCGAACCACGCCCCCATACCATATCTCCCCTTTTTCTCTATATGTATGGTACGGACGCACACAATTCACTCGGAGCGCCATAAAGCGCGAGGTCTCTGTGGGCGAATAGCAGTATAATATCACGCTTCATGTCGCTCTCGCGCAAGTCGCGTCTTGCCGTGTATTGATATAATAAAGCCATCATACAGTGATCATACGTCAACACAAGTTTCATCACATCAAAGGCACAAAAATAACGAAGTCAATTTTATGTATATATTTTATATATATATATATTTTATTTTTTATGTACGTGAAATTTTTAACAGACTTCAAAAAAAGTGGACGTTCTCAATTCCCCTGTATGTTTTTTTAATTCCGGCAATTGTGAACCGATTTTGATGATTCTTTTTATTGGAGAAAAGGTACCTCGTTGTGGGACCCCCATTTACATTTGAAGAAAATGTTCCACTTCTAAGGGTGGCAAACTAGGGCATGAATCCGGTTTCGCGCACTTTCCGATAACCGATTTCAATAAAACTTGGCAAATAGATGTAATTCCACGAACTTTTGAAGTCGATTTTTTAGTACTCTGTACTGAGATAATTATATGGACACTTGAAAGGCAAAATGGGATAAGCGACACTTTTGGTCATATTGAGTTATATATACCGTTGGAATCAGCTAATTTTCTGATTTCACAGTGACGTTGAAGTGTGACGTGAAGTTGAACAGTGTCGCTTATCCCATTTTGCCTTTCAAGTGTCAATATAAGTCTCCTATTTAAGCATAAAAGTTATCGAGTCGTCGTTCATATAATCTCTTCTTATCTCTTAAAAAGTGGTCATTTTGTAGATGTGGTTTTATTGCGAATTTACTCATAGAAGATATAACACAATTACTAAGAATTTGAGATCCCAACGTATAGCTCTATGTTTTTAAATACATCGTGTACTTACGTTTTAAACTGTTCACAGAACGCAACAGGCATTACTTTCTACAATGTGAAGGGGAAGAAAGCATATAACGTCACCGTGGACGCCATTGCTAACGGATTTCGCAATCGGAATATGCAAAGAAATTACTTTCCCGGTATGTATCATTACACTAAGTCACTCTGTTAAGCATGGACAAAGTTACCAGCAAATGATTTAAAAAAGAAAAAATTCGAGATTATTATTCGGCATTTATACAGATGTATCGAAGTAGGCCGTACATAATTCAACTGTTGATTCTATAGCAAAAAAAATGCGAATTAAATTTTGTAAATGGTTATTATTACATACTTTAAAAAGCCCAATGACTATCAAAAATTTGATGATATTGTACGTAAAATATGTTGTTCCAATATTTTGTGGGACGTAGGTGATTAAGTGTGTTGTTGACATTGATTTAGAAGTAAAATTTTAGACGTAAGCACTTAGAACTTAGATTGTAAAAGGTACCGACTACGTAGTTAGTAACGTACGAGGATGTTGTTTGAACCACAGAGAAGTTGGCAAAGAATTCAATAGTGATCGTGATGGCGGGTACGTGCGTGTTGATCGTGGTCGCTGTCATCCTCGCCGGCGCTACCGTCAGGTGGCGCAGGCGCAAGGCCCACGCCTTGAGGAATATTTACTTTCAGGTACTAGATCGAAAATTTCTATGTACTACAATCGGGTAAACAAATAATTATGTCAATATTTTCTTACCTTAATGATAATTTTTGTCGCGTGGCTATTTAAGAAAGAGATGCCAAACGGTATTTCTGCATCAGAGGAGAAATGTTAAGTTAAGGTAGTCACCATACTTATCGACGTGGAATCGCATTTAGTCATAAGAGCGAAAAAGTCGTTGGCGGTTCGCATCGGCACGATATTACGTCGGCAACGAATCTGCTTCATATGAATTTCCGATTGCGACTCCAAAGATGCGAAGGTCACATTTCATACACCCATTGCCCGAATAGCCGCGACGACGCCCTAACGTCCGCATCGACGCCCGAACGGCCGCATCGACGCCCGAACAGCCGCATCGACGCTCGAACGGCCGCATCGTCGCCCGATCGGCCGTATCGACACTCTAACGGCCGTATCGAAACACGAACGGCCGTATCGACGCCCAAATGGCCTCATCGACACCCGAACGGCCGCATCAACGCTCGAACGACCGCTTCGACGCCCGAGCGACCGTATCGATCATGTTCGAACGGCCGCATCGACGGCGAATCGTTTCAATGCGACAAGTATGCTACCTAAATATGGTCGCTTTACGCCGATTCCGCGTGGATAACTGAGGTAGCTTCCTAACCTAGAGTATTGCACACGTAACTGCTCTGAAAGTTGAGGGATATAAACGTACAAATTGTAAGTCCCTGTCCATTTCCGATAAATGCCATGCAAGTTGTAGAAAACAAAGATATTTCTAAGAGCATTTCGTGATTGGGAAGACAGTATCTGTCCAATATTACATTTAAGTACATACAGATTTTCGTACTAGATCTAACGTACCAGACCATCAAACCATCAACAAGAACAACACACTTACCTAATTTATCATAAATTCATCATTCAAGAAAATAAACTGTTTCGTAATCGAAACTAATTCTGTATCAGAATACGTTCTGTTTTAAAGAAATACTCAAAAATATTAATAATGTGAGTTTGAAAATATAATGAGTAAAATCATTATATTTTCATTTGAATTCCAATTTATATATAAAAGAAATAACATTCGTTTATACGTGAAAAATAGATTCAATTAGTTTATATGTGTACAAACATAAAATCAAATTAAAGATAAATTCACTTTGATAAAAAACATTTTGAAAAGAAACAACTGCAAAATGAAGCAACTATTCGGTAGTAATAGTTACCTTATTTTACCCGTGAATTCAACGCAAATTTTACGACGCAAAACTAAAAAGCATCCTTCGACGATAACAATCAACAACGACATTATTAAACACAACATAATCATCAATTCTAAAGGCGGCTTCCCACGGCCCGTGGCTCGTTTCGAGGCTAGCGCCGCGCGTTTTTTCAAAACGCGCCGTGGAAATAGGGCCTAACGAGCGCGCCCGTACTCACCCCAGTGCGTCTGTGCTCGGTAACAACAAATGCTCTCGATTACAAGGGGTCTACTCTCGTTCTCTGAAACAATTACTGTCAAATAAGTAAAACTCGACCAAACGAAAAAACAATATCACATAATATAAAGCTACATTCGCATCATGCGTCTTTTAATTTGATAGAGTATTAATTATTTGACAGTAACTTAATTGTTTCGGACAGATGTCGGACGGAGAACGAGAGTACAGAGTCAAATCCGAATATGTGCCGTCACCCGCGTTGACGCGAGACCGCCCGGACTCGCCCGTTTCGCGAGCTCGGTCATACAAATCGGCGCGTTTGAAATCACGGGCAGTGGGAACGCACCATAACGTTGTGAACTATCAGACCATTACCAGACCAACGTATTCTTGTAAATGCTTGAACTAGAATATGAAGAGAGGACTAAGAGCTCAGAAGCGTCGACGATATGATGAAAGCATTAGCAAAGGAAATCCAAACTATTATGGAGCATTTCTGAACCCAATAACCCATCCAAGATAGCAGTTTACTGGAATTTCATTAATGATTGTATAGTTCTTTATTTTATATAGTTCTATTCGATTACTGATAGTTCGCAACACCAATCGACATTTGCTTTTCTTCTACTTTTTTTTATTTTTATACTTATATAGCTTCCTCTCCGCTTTCGGGACTGCTGCTGGTTGAAGTGTTTTTTTTTTTAATTTATTTATGTTCGTTTTCTTGGTGTTTTTCATCTATTTGTGTGTGTGTTTTTGTGTGTGCACCACCGAGCCACTCGTATTATACAAACTCTCACGATCTACTTCATTATTGATTAGTTAATTGGTGAGCCAGAATAAGAATATAACTCAACTTTCAAACATTTGTGACAGTTTGTATATGAAGGTGTGGCGACCTGTAACAATAGAATATAAGATCTAAACTCCACAGGATCCGCTGCAAAAGATACCAAAAGGCGGCATTTTGGATTGCGGAGCGGAACCAGGTCTGGAAGACGGGTGGGAGATTCGTACTGAACGATTACTGCTCCACGAAGTCATCGGGGAGGGGGCCTTTGGTGTCGTCAGGAGAGGCACTTTGGCCCCGGTGGGGAAGGAGGTTGCTGTCAAGATGTTAAAGGGTGAGTTTTGTCAAGTGATTTGGCAATGTAGAGGAGTAATCAAAACAATCGAGGTGGAGCTCAATGTAGAAACGGAATATAAAAAAACATTTTTCAGTGTTTGTCTTTGGGCGACCAAACCCTATAACTTTTATACTTTGAGATAACGTGATGGCCTGGACTGCTTTACCAAATATTGATCTAAAAGACCTCAAAACAGGGCACTACGGAAGAAGATGAAGGCCAAAATTAATTTAAAACAATCACTTTACTTTAAAATTGAGATAGACTTTACATGAAAACTGCGTTGCAGATTTCCCAACACCAGAAGAAATTCGTTCATTTCGCGCCGAGATGGAGCTGATGAAAAGTGTGGGTGCCCACCCGCATATCGTGAGCCTAGTAGGCTGCTGCAGCGTTCGGCGGAACCCGCTTATCGTTGCAGAGTATTGTAGTAGGGGGGATTTACTTAGTTATTTAAGGTAATTCCATTAGGAATACTCTAAATTAATTTGTCATACGGCCAGGAGCAAATTTTCCCGTAATGTCATTGACACAGGAATAGAGCAGCCAGTTTCCTGAGCTTTATTGAAAGTGTCCATTCTGATTTGCTGGTGATAGCAAATCCTCTTTTGTTTAAGAGGCCTATTAGTGCCTCAAACTGGGGATTTTAATTACCCTTAACTTGATATGGTATAAAGATGTATTTAACAAATCTTTTATCACATTTTATTGATATAATTTAATTTAAATTTGTCTTCCAGATGCTGTTGGGATGTAATGGTGTCCAAACGCAGCGCAAAATACTACAATAACAATCTAGAAACTTCAGATTACAGGAACGACTTGTTCAAAAAGCCACAGAAAGAAAATTCAAAGCTGGTTGTAAACAAACTATATGATTTACAAGATATATGTAATGCAGAACTGACGTCCTTGGATCTACTATCGTTTTGTAGGCAAATTGCTATGGGCATGGAGTTCTTGGCATCCAATAGAGTCGTCCATAGAGATTTGGCAGCTAGAAATGTGCTAGTAACAGGTGATAGGATGCTGAAGATAGCTGATTTTGGGCTGTCGAGAGACGTGTATCAGGAGAATCAATACAAACAAAAGGGGAACGGAAAGATGCCTGTCAAGTGGATGGCGTTAGAGTCTTTAACGCATAAGATTTATACTACTCAAAGTGATGTGTAAGTTAGCTTGTATTTTATTTCTTTTCTTTATTTATGTCGAAATCTTTTTAGAGACCCAATTAGGGTGCGTACAGATGTGGCGAATGCGCTGCATGTGCGCAGCGCGCGCGCTACAATTGTACACTTAAGAGTGGTTACACACGGCGACATTTAGCAGCGATGCAAACGCGCATCCGTGAAAAGCGCGATTGTATCGCTGCTTAAAATCGCGCGCGTGTGTAAAGGTAGACGTAGACGTAGTAGACGACGTAGATTAAGCGACTGCATCGCATACTGAGACGTAAATAGGAACTACCTTTGGTTTATTACTGAAGTGTCACACCTGCAAATTTTTCCACCCTTCGTCATTTTCAGGTTTTTGTCAATGAATATCGTTCACATGCAAGTAGACTTGTCTCCAGACCTTTTGGTCTCCATACCAATGAGGATTTTAAATATACTGTGTGACAAAAATAACTTATGATTGTCAGGTGGTCCTTCGGCGTAGTAATATGGGAGGTGGTGACAGTGGGTGGGGCCCCGTACCCTGAAGTGTCAGCTGCCCGCCTGCCGCGATTGCTGCGAGCCGGATACCGCATGCCGAGACCTAACAATTGCAGTAAACAACTGTTAGTAGAAAATGTGAAAATAAATTTTGGTTTAAGTAGGGAAGCTTACTTCGGGTTAAGAGAGCATGGACGCACAACAAAGGTTGGTTATGATAGATATATCATAACAATAGCTTAATAACGAAACGGCCCTATTCACACTTCCATTATCTGTCTGTTATTCCGTGTTAGCAGCACTAAAATTGCTCTCTAAACCCTCAGTGTCGAATTTTCAAACATAATCGCCTGGTACACGCAAAAGCTCCTTTCGGGAGTCACCATACTTTTTAACGCGGAATTTGAGCCGATCACAAAAACGTGACCGGCCCAAGCCGATACGGCTTTTACTTTACAGCATTAAGCCGGTCAGAAAAAGCTTTCTATCCATGTAATATGTTTGAAAAAGATCCATTACCACCAGTTCTGTTGACAGAACTGCTGGTACGTTTTCCCATTTTTTTTTTGTTTATAATAGACCGTTTTCTACACAGAACTAAGTACTGAAAATTTTATCTCCCATTAGTGCTGTTGTACAGTTCTATTGTGCGTTTTTTGTCGGCAGTCCGGGTAGATCAGTTAATGCGATTACGTGTCGATAAAGTATGCATAAATTAAAGTTTTTTGTTTATGATTCTAAGTGACGGGACGAATAAGCCATGCGCAAGGCGGTAAGCGATATGCCTGTTAATAACAGTTGAAGTGCTATTCAGATCTTAAATAACAAAAATCTGAGGGGCACTGCCACTGTCACCCAGAGTGCTTACCCCTCAAAACCGAAACGTAGTAATGTTCATGTTCATTAGTGCTTGACGGCAGAAATAGGTAAGGTGGCAGTACTTCCCTGGATGAATTCTTTCACAAAGAACTCTACTGCTACTAAAGTTTTACGAGTAACTAAAAAAACTTTCAAAACTGCAGATACGACATAATGATGTCGTGCTGGCGCTCGCGCCCTCGCGACCGGCCTACGTTCTCCGAGCTTCATCGGAAACTCGATGAGTTGTTGAACAGCGCCTGCGCCGACGAATACCTCTCGCTCGAGTTGGACGGAGACGAAACGCCGCCGACGCCGAAGGCTCAGAGATATTTGAAGGTGATGTTAAGGTAATTATAGTCACATCATTTTAATTAACCCTTACAGGGATATTTTTTGCACGATAACGTACCTTTAGTTGTAAGCCTTACGAAAATTCACATAATTTTTTTCTTTTACGATTCGACGAACTTATATGGAATATTTAAAGGTCGTAGAACAAGTTTCGAGTACTGTAATAGGAATCAATATCTCAGTGTAATAAGAGTCGACCTCGATGTCCCAACGGCTTGTGGGCGCTGACTGAGAAGGTCCCTTTGGAGGAACTTTTCCAAATTGGTACTGGTCAGGATGAATCCGTTGCTCTGGTAATCATAATACAGTGAATTCCCTAGAGAGAAAAGACAGAGGTGATTAGTGTGATTGTCTGGCATATTATTATTACATATCTACAAGAGCCTTACCATCATAACACTGTACTCTCATTCTCCGTCCGAAACGGTTACTGTCAAATAAATAAGACGCATGATGCGATTGAAGTTTTGTACTTGACATTGCCTATTAATTAAGTCGAGTATTACTTATTTCACAGTATTTGTTTCGGACGGATGTCGGAACAGAGATCAAGAGTACACCCCCTACTATTCCGATGTGCCGATGTTACCCTTCGTCGTTGTCTCAACAGCGCTATTACGATTAGTGTAGGGTCATGGAAAAATGTCCATTTTGAAAAAATCATATTTTCCAATATTTTTTCTTTATTTCTCCCACATTTGACGTTACTGAACAACTGAAAAATTGAAGTTACTGAACGGAAACGATAGAGCCAACATCAAGTCATGGTGGTATATGGGTGGTATGGTTGTTGGAGTTTTTTTCGCTGTTGTAAAATCATTTTAAATCTTGTTTTTGTCTATGATGATTTTATATAAACAAATTTACTTTATAATTCCAAAAGATATTTCTAAACGTAGAACATAATATGAGTCTTCTAAATAATAGTTTTCAAATATTTCGGAAGAATTTCTACTATTTGAAATTATCCGGAAAATTAATTACGGTAATTACGGTTTATAATTGATTATATTAATTTTGTCCATCCAGCAAAGGAAACCGCGTCTGGGCGCGCGGCGAGAGCTACGAGCGGCCCCTTAAAGCACCACAAAGCAATCACTACACGTCCCCGCCTGCTGTTGCGCCCTTAGCTAGACCACAGCCTGTATGACGGCCAGCTGCTGTCTTCTAGTTCCATTGTCCTATCTTCAAGGTGCTGTACCATTTCTTACTGTCTTTGCATTTGTATCCCAAAATGAACAGTAAGAAATGTGAAATCATGATGATACTTATCCTTACCTAAGAAACGCTGACAAATTCCTACAAACCCTCGTCTAAATATAGAATAGACTGTATGTTGCAAAAAGCTATTACCAATGGTCAATCTGGAAAAATATGAGGATTTCAAAGCGTTAGAGAGATATCGCTTACAGAGCTGACTAACAGTTCAGAATTTGTAATAATTGCACTAAGAATGGAAGTCGTCTAAGCACATTAGATTCGGTCTTTGTGGTATCATCTGTAATTTACGAAGATATAAGAAATATCTATGAACGTTCCTATGATCTCTATCACGTGATGTAGCTTGTAACGTGTCTAGAAGTTTTTTTTAATAACAAGTAACGGGACAAACAAATCGTGTACCTGGTGGTGGTAAGCGATACGCCTGTTGCATAACACTTTCAGTGCCATTCAGAGATTTAAATCACAAAAATCTGTGGGGAACGCCGTTGCACCCGTCAATCTGACACATAAGTTCAGCAGTCCCATATGCGTGTAATTTCACCGGTACCCTTCAAAACGGATTACCGAAATGGGTAAGGTGGTACTCCCCTGGACGAACTTTTTCAATAAGGAACTCCACAGTACTGTCCCCCGTACAACTTACGAGTGCATTTTGCTATATGTTATTTTGTAAATGTGTTATCGCTTTTCTATTGCCTTATTAACCATGTAGCGAGACTTCTGAGATGCATACTTGTATTTCGATGCCTTACTTTCTGTGACTCGAATCTTATAAAGAGTAACTATTCTGGAGATGGCAAAACTTTATAATTATTTATTGTACATTTCCTATCCAGGGTGTTCATTTGGATGCATTACTTTAAGAATAGGATGTGATATCAGCCTGCGAAATTTGTATGTACAATCCATTTTTTGCATGTCTGTAACTCGTCCTTTAATATACGAGTTTGAGAAAGTAAAGCTACGATATGGCCTTATCAAGCATGCACTTCTTGACCCCCGGCAATTTTAATATGTTCTAATCCCGTAGTCAACGTTGCATATACATGCAGAGTTATTGGTCAAATACTAACTATATTATTAATATCATAAAAAAAACTTTTGTTCCAGGAGTTTTTACAAAACTTAATTTTTTTGAAACCTATAGCAAAAAGAAACTTAAGTTTTTCTTGTACTATCTGACACTTTTTAGATATGTATCTGATAGTAAGTTTAGCAACGCCACTCGCGTGCTATGAATATAAAAAATATTTTGGTGGTGACTGCTTTCATTTGATACCTCACAGAGTTCTGAGTAATTATTAAAAGTCATAGAACAAAAGTTGTTGCTTGTGAGATCAGTAATATAATCCTGCGCGTATTTTACAACCCACTCAGTAGATCCCGTCTCAACAGCAACATTTGATAGAATCCCAAACTAGATATATTCTATGTCCATGGTACAACTCGTGCTATGACACAAGTGGCTCCCCCTGCCTGAAAAGGGCAGCTAGTACTCAAATATTGTATGCATGTGGGTTACATAACGCAATTTGTAAGCTCCATGTATTTTCTAGAATATTTGAATAAGTATTTTTGGCTTGAAAGTATTATTTGAGACATTTAGTTAATTTTAAGTCTTAGTGTCAAATATGTTTCAACATTGGTGTCGATTTGGGTAAATACAAACATAAAATAAGTGCAACGCTGT